GGCCTCCAGCCCCTCCCGGCCGCGTCCTCACCGAAGCGGCTGTGGTCGTGGCGGGTGCCGTGCACCGTGCCGTTGGGGAAGATCTCCAGGTGGAAGCCCGTGCGGCAGTAGAGCTGGCGGCGCCGCAGGATCCCCTTCAGGTGGGCGAAGTCTGTGGGCGAGCCGCGCTGCAGCTTCCCCTCGATCTGGCCCAGGCGCTCATTCAGGAAGCCCGGGGAGTCACCTAAGGGCACGTTCCCCAGAGATGAGGAGAAGCCGTGCAGATCCCAGTCCAAGGAGGCGAAGACCCCCCCGACCTCCGCCATGGCGGGGCGCGAACTGCCTCTCCCCCAGCGGGCGCGGGCGGCTCGGTGGCGCTCGCTCGCTCGCTCGCTCCGCTCTCTGCCCAGCTGCAGCCGACGCCTGTTCCCGTCCAAGGAACTTCTCAGCGGCGGGGAGCGTCTGACAGCGCGCTCCTGACCTTGCTCTCAGTCAAAGTGCCGCTTCCCCTCCGCATCCATGTCCCCAGGCCTCTCATTGCTGGCTTCGTCGAGCTATCAGATGCAAACGACACTTTATATACATGCCCACTCCCCTTACATTGACATATTCGATATTTAAATACAAGCCACACCTCACTGGCATCCCCTCGGAGATTGGTGTGTGGGGTTTTTCCCCCCTTCTCGTATCCTTTTGCCTTTTTTTTTTTTTGGGAGGGGGTGTGGAGGAGGGAGAGAGCAAGCGAGCTTCACTCCCTCTTTTATTATGAAAAAAAAATGGCAGGAAAAAGCTACACATTGCAGTGAGGCATAACTGCTTTTGGCAGGTTTTTCTGAAACTGCTGATGAAATAACGGAGCCCAGTGCGTGGAGGCTGTTGGCGCCCACGGCCACTCAGGCCTGTTACGTGGAGGTCTGTCTGCTGCGCCGGGGCCGCTCCCCTCCCACGCGTCTTCGCCTGTGAGGCTTTGCAAAGTGGCGGAGACCAGGGTTCGGGGGTTCGCGCTCTCCTTAACCCCTCTAGTTCCCCAGCTGGTCAGAGGCTGCAGTTGGGGCTCCTGGACTGGGACAGGAGTTCCCCAGTTTCTTTGTTCTGTTGTCCCCTCGCTCCCCAGTCCCACTCCCCACCTGTAGGTCGGCGCAGGGCAGAGGAAGTGAAAAATGTGGACTCGAATGCAGTCGCAAAATTTGGGACTGGGGTTGGTGCGGTTCCTACAGGCACCAAAGCGGGGGGTAAGGAAGGGGGGGGGGCTTAAGGGGACTGGGAGGGGCAGGAAACCCTACGGAGCAAAGAGGACCTTTTTTTTTTTTTTTTTTTAAAGTGACGTTACAGCTTAGGAAAAGGAGCTGGGAGAAAGAAACAGCGATCTTTTTGAAAAATGATCTCCACTGGTTTTCTGGGCGCACTTTTACAAATCTCTCGAGAATAAGCTCCATGAGAGGCCATTGGAAACCTGTGGGGGCTTCCCCCTACCTCGTTTCTTTTTGGAAACAGGTGTTTCCTCGCTCTGTCCTGTGCCCTGCTCAGAGATATTCTATCATGAAGAGCTGCAGTTGGAGTGGGAACAGGCGGCAGTCAGGGCAAGTAGCTGCGACAAGAAGACCTGGGCAGCAGGTGCCCAGCCTGTTCCGCGCCCCTGAGAGGTACCTGGACTCGTCACAAGTCCTGGCTCTTGACGTCCTGCTAGCCTATCGAACTTCGGTGTTGATTGCAGTTTGCACCCGCAGCGGGCTTTGGCTGCGTGCCGGGACTCCTGCTGGAGAAGCTGAATGTAGCCCTCACCGACCCCCGCACCCCACCCCCCGCGCAACCCGATGCCTTTACAGCGCCTCCTGCTGGAGAACCCGTGTCTCGCAGAGAGTTCGAACTGGGGCGGAGGGTGGAATGTCTCGCTGAGAAAAAACCGATTCAGCTCAACAAAGCTAGTGCAAATCGAGGCGCTCATGGGCTTCTGCGTGCACCCTGGGCTCACTTTTCGGAACCGTAGCAGTTCTTGGTTTGAAACCTCGTGGCATGTGGTATTTGGCGTGACTCCCTAGCTCAGACAGAATGTCTAAGCACAGAATCTGGCACATAATTGGTGTTCAGAAATTATCTTCTTAGGTGCTCCAAACAGTAGGAAACAGAGATGTAAATGGTCTTCCGTTAGTGGGGAACACGTTTGGCATATTTAAGGATAAAATGACAGACGATTTGCTTTAAAATAATCTAGAATGTGTGATAATATTGTTCATGTGTAATTAATTGTTGAAGTTGGGTGATGGGTACATGTAAACACATACACGCGAGATTTTCCATTAGAAAAACTTTGAAAATAGAACTTGCATAAGGCAAAGAAATAATTTCTTCCTTCCTAATTCTCCCTTTCGGAAAATTTTGTAGATTTAGTGAAACGTTGGAGGAGAAAGGCAGAGGCTAAGACAAGTAAGTATATAAATGATTCGAATGCCGGGCAGTATATTGAGCTGCGTGGATTCACAGAGCAGTGAGAAGACTGATCAGGGCTGCGTTTTTTTTTTTTTTTGTACCAAGATTGCCTTTGTAATGGATGGGCCTTGAGGCGAAGATGGAAAGGATTTTGCAAATTCAGATAGGTCACTCCTGGGAAGGGGAAAATAGTAACAAAGTAAGTGGAAATTTTAATTGGTAAAGACTAACTCCTGGGGGCTTTAGTGAATGTCAAATGAAATAATATAGATGAAACTGCTCTGAGAAATATATGATGTAAAGGATATAGAGGTCTTTATCATGATATAAATTACTCATTGAAAATGGCAAAAAGCCTTTTCCTCAACAGTTCAGGGAATTTCTACACTTTTTAGCCCCCTCAACCCCCTCTTCCTAAAGTCACCAACCATAGTTACAGATCTGGAGTTTGGAGTTCTTGATGTATCTGATCTAAGCATCCCATCGCTCTCCTGGGGTTCTTTTCAGATTAAGATGACTGGTGATTTTGTTTTAGATTTCATTTGCATGGAGTGTTCCAGTTGACAGCATTTTCATGAAAGTCATTTAATTCACACCACTGTGGTGTAGGAGGAAGTGCCTATTATCCCTATTTTAGAGGTGAGGTTAAGTGACTAACTAGAATTCTATAGCTAATAAGAAGCAGAGTCATAATTGGATCTCAGATCCACTGAGGGGGGCAAATTACTCTCGATTTATGGAACTTGGGGTTATGCAAAGACTGGATTGTTGAGAACAGAGATTTCAAAATATTTTGGTTTATAGAAATTTCTCAGCAGGACATAACCTCTGACCACGGTTCTGCTGGATATATGGGATAAAAGGAAAATGTATATAAAAAGGAAGGCACTGCTGGATTCAGGACTTGCAAAGTGAGGCTACCTGTACCCTTTCACAGTGGTATTGTGAGGCTGAAATGAAATCACGGATGGATAGTGTCCAGCATTCTGTCTGGCACACGAAAAACACACCACACACCTGAGATTCCTCCTTTCCCAGTATGTTACAGGGTTGATGTGAAAAGGACATGGAAAATAAAACTCCTGGGGAAAAGGAGAATCCTGTAATTCTGTAAGTGTAAAGCTGTAAGTGACTAGAGCCTGGGAGCAACCTGTTGGAATCTTCTCCTTGAGGAAGGAGATACTACACTAACAAAGCTGGTATCTACTCCCCTCCAACACCCAGCACATAACACCAAGGAGATGGGAAAGGATGTCTGGAATTGTTCTCCTGCCCAGTTCTGTTCTTCATTTCCCCGACAATTTACAAATGTTTTTTTCCTTCCTACTTTATTTTCTCTGAGAAGGAGCCTGGAAAGTTGTTTTCTAGGCAAATCCCACAGGGCACATAGTAAATAACATATTTGCTTCTATTTACTGAGTGCTTAATCTTGGGTTAAGCATTGCCCTGGGCACTTTACATGTATTGTCTTCTGTAAGCCTTAGCCTTATCACTGCTCTAAGAAATACTTGTATTCCCATTTTACAGATGAGAAAGCTGAGGGCCAAAGAAATTGTACTACTAACTAGTAGTAGAGGTAGTTTTACAGGGCAGTGAGAGGGGCACCTCTGAAGCCCCAAGCCTGCCCACTCTAAATAGGTTCAGCGTCGGCCACATCAAGACAAAACATGTAAGACCTTTTATGGAAAGGAACTTTAATACAATTAGTGTGCAATACAGAGAAGACAAAGAGTATAGTTTCTAAATCAAACACCTGAAGTTACCTGTCCCCTCGTGGGTAAAAGTCCACACAAAAGGGGTTGGTCCAAAGCAAGGCCTGAAAGGCTGCCACAAGCCTAAAGCACCTTCTGGCTGGGACCCATAGAAAAGGGTCAGAAATGGCCAGACAAGTCTGGGAGGAAAAGAGCAAAATCAAAAACAAGATAAATGTTGTGTAGTCAACTTCCCCATGGGTCTCTCACCCACATCTTTATCAACCCATCCAGGGCCAAGAAACAAGACGAAGCTTCTTCACATGTCTCTGCTCCATGTGCCTCCCTCAGGTCTCCCTCTGGCCCATCACCCTTCTTCCTTGCTCCTCAGTCTCCTCTCCAGATTCCCCTCTTCTCTGCTCAGCTCCATTCAGCTCCACCCTCCTTTGGGTGGGGCAGGGAATCTGGAACTCCCCTTTTCCTGGGGACCACTCTGTTATAGTAGGACTTACCCTGACCTTAAATTAGGACCTAACCACAACTCAATCTATTTAATTCAAAGAGAACTTGCATTGCTCCTTTGTCCTTGGTTCTGGCCTCCCCTCTCCACCTGCCTTCCTCACTTTCTGTGGCCTGCAGTGTAGAGTAGTGCAGTGGTCACATACTCCGTCTCTGGTGTCAAAGTGCCTGGGTTCAAACCCCAACTGGAAACCATTCTAGGCGTTGGAGCTTCAGTTTCTTCTGTAGAATGCAGTTGATGATGATAGTTTATAATCATCACTCTCACAGAATTGCTGTGAGGATCACATGAGATAATGTACAGAATGTACTGAAAATTTTGCCTGGCAAATATTATATGGTCATTGTTCCTAATATGGATTACATCCTGCTTGGTCCCTAGTCATATTTCCTCTCATATTTCCTCCCCAGGTTTTCTCGAAGTATGTTATATTTCTCTAAGGGAAAGATGAAGCCGATGAGAACAATGGCCAAGTCACCCCAAAGCAATCAATTCCAATCCTATTACACTTTCTGCAAGGTATTAGGCCAGTCTTTTTCTCTCTGGGCTCTAGAATGCCTCTCTCAGAAATGGGGTGCGTAAACTTACTGTTCTGTTTGGACAAGCAATTAATGAGGGAGTGGAGGTCTGAGAAAAATAAGTCACTGATTTGCATAGTTTCATTATTGAGTATCTTAAGTGCTAAGCA